AGATGATGATCAGCAGCTTCTTCACTAGTTGAGTGACAAAAGTCACCTCCTCACTCTCTGACCGTTCATAGGCCTACAAACAAAATGGAGAAGTTGGTCATGAGCAAAAGAGTTAACCTGTGACCCTCCAATGGGATACCCTTATAACCCCACATCTTTCTGAGTCATATCATTATATCACTCACACTCTCTATAATCCCATGGCTCCCTTTGTTGTGGTTGCCTCCTCAATTTCCCATCACCTACTCTTAAGCTCAGTTTCTCCTACAAAAGTCAACCCACGTTCTGCACGCTACTGCCTCTATCTTTCTCCACTGGCTCCTACACTTTCCACTTTCTGTGTACATCCCTCTTGAACACCCTCCATTGACAAAGGTGCTGCTCACATCTTTCAGGAGCTTCTCCATGTTTTCTTGCAACTCATAGAAGTAGACCGTGGTGATGAGGCCATCCTGGGACTTGGTTAAACAGTCTCTGGCCAACTCAATGACCTGGTGGTGGATGAAGCTCAGTGCCCCGTCAGCCAAAGGCAACACACTGTCTGGTTCATAGCTCCTGATGAAATCTTTCAGCTTCTCTTCCATTTGCGCTGTGGCCTGTGGAGGTAAGAAACAGAGTCTCTTCCATCAGAAAAAATAAATAAATACATGCTAGATCCTAAATCTTGCTCCTTTCACACTCCTGGTTTCCAACCATACACCTGCAAGCTGATTGACTGCATTCTCTGCATAGTTAGGTTCTAGATCTTGAGAATACTTTCCATGTTATCTTTCTATTTAAGCAAATTGTTTGGGAAGTCACAGCTGGCCCTCAATCCATAATAAGACAAGGATATCTGTCTGTCTATCTCAGTGGTTCTCAACCTGTGGATCCCCAGGTGTTTTGGCCTACAACTCCCAGAAATCCCAGCCAGTTTACCAGCTGTTAGGACTTCTGGGAGTTGAAGGCCAAAAACATCTGAGGACCCCAAGTTGAGAACCACTGGTCTATCTAGTCTGTCACTCTTTTCCCTCTATTGGCTCTGGGATCAGGCTTTCAGCCAGTAACAGGAGTATGGCAATGTAAGACTACAAAATAATATAATGAATACTCAGACCGGTCTTGGAATATGATTTGGATCATGTGATTTTAATTGATGTTTTAATGCTATGTTTTTAAGGGGGGTTAGTTTATAATTTGAAGAAAAGTTTTATTTATCTACCAATGTATTAATAAATGGCATGGAATTGTTTCCTTTGTAAGGCCGCCCTGCATCCCCTTCTGGGTTGAGAAAGGCGGATATAAATGGGATAAATAAATATATAAATATTGGCATTTTATCACATCCAACTTTATAGGTCCTTCTTTTTTCCCAATACTACAAGCAATAAAAACTGCTTATTCATAATAATGACTATTTATCTAAATAGCAAGGGCATATCTCTCTTTCTCAACCCTGTTGTATCTGATCTCAAGCCTCAAGGAGAGGCACATGATAAAATTACACTATGTAACACGATTTTTGGTCCTGGGTTATCAATGTCATAAAAACATGGAAAAGGTTTATTAAACTGCAAAACCTTTGTTTTTGCAGGACATCCTGCAGCACAGTTTGCTATAGGTTTCTCAATCAATTCAACATAGTTTGTGGCACCAGTTTTTGGAGTATAACAACTACTTTCAAAGTAAGTACCACACAATAGAACAGGCGTAACACTTTCAAACCAGGAACAGATTTTTTTTAAAATGTTACATTGTGTTGTTGTTATTGTTATTATTTTCGTCTATAAGTGAACCTACTTGGTTCAGCCTTGTTTCCCTTCCCTACCCTTCCCTTCATTCTGTTCAAGTCTGTATAAATACCAAAATAGTCATGAGAACAAGTAAGATAATCAAAAACTCAGAGCAAGAAAACTCCATTAAGACAAGCTTCCCAGTACTGGGATTTTAAAAATGCAAGTCTTCAACTTTCACCATGATTAAAACGCTGTGTAGATCTTCTGTCTAGACTTATACAAGCACCTTAAACCAGGGGTCATCAAACTAAGGCCTGAGGGCCGGATACGGCCCTCCAAGGTCATTTACCCAGCCCTCGCTCAGGGTCAACCTAGGTCTTTAAACTACTTGAAAGCACACAACAACAACAATCTTATCTCATCAGCCAAAAGCTGGCCCACACTTCTCATTGAAATACTAATAAGTTTATATTTGTTAAAATTGTTCTTCATTTTAATTATTGTATTGTTTTAAAGTGTTTTTGCACTACAAATAAGATATGTGCAGTGTGCATAGGAATTCATTTATGTTTTTTTCAAATTATAATCCGGCCCTCCAACAGTTTGAGGGACTGTGACCTGGCCCTCTGTTTAAAAAGTTTGTGGACCCCTGGTCTAGATGGATCTACACAGAAACCATCCCGTTCAATTGTTGTTTGGTGCTTTACATCGACTCTTGACTTATGGCTATCTCATCATTCATTAGCCATGGTTATTTGCCATGCAATCAAAGAATGATGACATGTGTAGTCTTACACATCAGGAAGACAATAATTTGGGGCTGTTTTAATGTGTGTCAATACAGGGCCCTTCCACATAGATGTATAAAATCCGCAAGAATACCGATCCTGGAAGACTATCCTACTCGTCCAACAAGGGATCACCTAAGTAAGTAAGTATAAAATCCACATTGAACTGGATTATATGGCAGTGTGGCTCTTCCATCTCAGATATTCCAGCTCAAAGCAGATATTGTGGATTGTCTGCCTTGATATTCTGGGTTATATGGCTGTGTGGAAGGGCTCACAAAGTATTTGTCTCTCTTTCGCTTGCCAATAAGGATGGTTCAGTGAAATAAATCCCTTAGTTGCTAGCAGTGTTCTTGGTTGTTTTTCTGGTTTCCAAATAAAGTGGCCTCCAGAGAATGATCTTTGAGACATGTGAGATCTTCAGTCCTTACCTTGGGAAATCGTTCTTTGTAAACATGGTTCATCATCACTATCTCATTGTCATGGGAAGAAGGAGACCGGCCCGGGCTGCATAAAAGAAAGGGACAAATTAGCTGCTGATGAGAAGCTCTTCTGTGCCATTCACATCTTCCCAAATTCTAGTTGACGGTTTAATTTTAATCTTTGATTGCCAAGGCAGTAATAAACTTTATAGGAAAAGGTAGACAGAAGATAAGCAAGATCCCCCCCAGAGATCTCTGGGTGATTTGCAATAGATTGGAAAGTCTGTCACACTCCCAAGTGTTTCACAACGACAACAAGAGAAAAACAAAAAGGCTCCCATGCCTTTTGTAATTAGGCTGCTCAAAATGAAAGAACTTGGAGGAGAAAAGTCAGGAATGGATTTTTGTGTGCTTATTTCATGAGAGTAGAACCAGTCAAGAACTGTGAGTTCTAACAAACAGAATGGACCACATGCTATATAAATAAAAATGTAATGTTCGTTTGTGGGATTAACATAACTCAAACACCACTGGGCGAATTGACCCCAAATTTGGACACAATACACCTCTCAGGCCAACAAGTGACCATCACTCATAAAAACACTGAAAGACACAGCAGAAGAGACTTAAAAACCCCCAAAAATACATTACAACGCATGCGCAAAACTACATATATACACAAACAACAACAATTTTTTATTGATTAGCCAGTTGGCCTTATCAAAAACAAACAGTGCAGACACAACATACATCTAGTCCTCTTAAAATAAAATCCAAATATACAGGTAGCTATAGATATATGCATCAACTCTCCTCGTCTCCCCTACACTGCACCCCAATCTGATCTATGTACTCCAATCTCCTTTTAGCATCTTTATATATACACAAGCACACATATAAACAAATATATACACACACATACGCATATATGCACACACAAACACATATACACAGACTGGGCCATAGCAACACGTGGCAGGGGACAGCTAGTGCTATATAAACCCTTTCCAGAAGTCACCCATTTTATATTGGGCAGACAAAACAAGACATCAGGGATGATAAGCTTATGGGGAAAATGAAGGACAGACAGTGAGCAGCAGGTTGGAACAACACAAGCCCTTCTTGTACTGGAAGAGGAAGGCAGTAAAAAGTATTTTCATATTACTTCTATTATTACTTTGATCAAGGTTAAACTCTGAGGACAGGACACTCTCTAGCACAATCCATTCTGGAAATTTAGCCATTAAGGATTAAAGAAGCATAAGGATAATAGAAGGACACAATATGATGACATGTTGCAATTCTGGAAAGTTTACAAGAGAGACATTAGCAATTAGCTTTGTTTCCTAGGAGACAAAAAGGTGGGAGGCAAACAAATGGATATCTACAACCACAGAAGGACTTACTCTATATTCAGTGTGTGTAGCATTGATAGGCAAACATATACCCTCCAACATTTCACACCAGGG